ATTCTTCTTTTTATCAAATATCACTAAACACATAGCAAAAGCACCATATATATATATATATATATATATATATATATATATATATATATATATATATATATCTTATAATTATTTTTTTAAAATATGATTCCATCGCTACATAAGAGTTCTCATGTTTCAAAAACAGAAGCTAAAAACTTCGATTTAATTATAAAAATTAAATTGAATTAAAGTACCCAGTTCTGTTTATTCGGATGTCATCGTTCGCTTGAAAATAGCGACCCCTCTTTCCGAAAGCAACTAATATGTTGATACAATAGTTGTCAGTGAATATGTAAACCCTTATGCCTTTATTAATATAATTGGTTTCGCCGTTTCCATAGTAATTATTATTACAAATGTATATGATTATAAAGCTCCGTAAATTTCGAGATTAATTATTCCAAAATTCGTTTGAGGATGAAACAGAGCTGGGTATTTTAATTCAATTTAATTTTTGTAATTAAATTGAAGTTTTTAGCTTCTGTTTTTGAAACATGACAACTCTTATGTAGCGATGGAATCATATTTAAAAAAAATAATTATAATTTAGGCTCTACTTGTGTATTGAGCAATGTTTTTTAAAAATAAAAACAAAAATACTAAAGAACTTCGGATTATCAACCTAGCGCTTCTTTCCTATTTTTCTATATATTTGCACACACACACACACACACACACACACACACACACACACACATATATATATATATATATATATATATATATATATATGAAATGGACAAAGTCCGACAATTATTTTAAGACATTTTTTTAATGTTTATACGTTCTTTTTATAGATACAAATAAACATGACATTCAGGCCGGTAAATGTCGTTAATGCTGTTTATTATAAACAGAGCATTTATTTAAATATTTGTATCTATAAAAGAACGTATAAAACAAAAAATACACACACACACACACACACACACACACACACACACACACATATATATATATATATATATATATATAGATAATGATATATAATTTTTTATTCATCACGAGCAATTTTGGAGGAAAGATATATGACAAAATGGAAAAATTTTACGTGTGACATGTTTCGTCCTTTAAGACTTCATCAGACTAAGTCTGTTTAGGGTGATGTGATTACACATGCACACGAACGTGAGACCCTGGGAATTTTAAATTTAAAAAGCATATTTTTTTTATATATGTGTTTTTTTTTTTTTTTTGGTATATAATAATATTACCGATTTCGATTTCGATTCTTGTTCTTTTTGTTTATGTTTTCATCACTTTTCTTATTAAATATTCCACACTGTGATAACAGAAGATCTGCCAAGAAATAAGAAGACGGATGAGTGATCTAGTGATTAAACCACTTTCGTTGAGTAACATTTTTGTATTAAAATTGTGTCTCGTTACGGTGTGCAACTAATGTGTTTGATATGTTGTTTTGTAAAATATCCCTTTATGTGTATATAATCGTTTATTTAAAATTCTTGAGGTTTCTCCTATGTATTTTTTGTGGAAATCATTACAGGTAATAGAGAAAATTTCTCCTTCAAGTTTTAGCGTAAGGGTTTTTATTATGTCTTTTATTGTTTTAGACGTAATTGTGAAAATCTTATGATGAATTTAGATAAATTCTGTTCAGGTTAGGACAACATATTTTTTGATTCGTTGGGTTTGTCAGGAGGGCCTATTTCTATTTTGAAATATTTTATAAGTTTTTTGTCCTACATAGAATATGAAATAGTTAAGGTTATTGGTGGAGCTTGAAATATTTTCAATTTATTTCTCTTCTTCATGTAAATACTGAGGGCTGAAAATTCTAAATGCTCTTAAGTAGAATCCTATAATTATTCCATGTCACACGAAAAAAATTTTCGTCTATATATCTTCTTGTCACGCACATCTCAAACGCAACTGGGTCGACTACCTGTTTAAATCTGGAGGGCAGCCCCTGACATACTGTGAAGCGCGAATCGGCACTTGGAAACTAGGAGATTACCTTCCAGGTGAACTCGCTGATGCAACTGACGTCTCCAATGTTCTACGAGTGTAAAGTTTATTTTGGTATTATCTGAGGTGGGTTCAGTACATATTGAGGTAATTGCAGATCAACTTCTTTTTGAACAAAGGTACCTTATTGACATTAAACCCCATTCTGACTATCTGGTGCTTCCTGGCATGAACCAAATACTACAAGAGGACATAGAAGAAAAAGTAAAACGAATTTTAAGCCAAATAGAAAAAGTTTCTGTAAGTTGTAGATTTATTTTCAAAGATCTTTGCCGCAAGAAAAATATATCGTAGTGATAAAACAGTCACTGTGTCAGCTCATGGGCGTAATTGTACATAATACGAAGTACCTAGCATTTAAGATCTTTGCTCTACAAGAGACGGACTTTAATTCTCGTCTAGTCTGTTTCGTTCCTTTTCGTACAAATTCCCTTGGGAAAAAACATAAATCCATCTTCTCTCTCTGTCTAGATATTGTTAAACAACAGGGTAGACTAAGCTTCCTAGCCTTGGGTGGCAACCAGTCTAAACAAATCTCTGAATTTCAAACCACAGAGAAAGTAAGGTGAAACTAGCCAACTACATTTCCCAGGTAGCCATGGCAATCCTTCGATAATAAAGAAAAGGAATCTGTGGAGAGCCATGATCGTCTGTGTCCTGAATGAACGTGATATGAAAAAATGCAAGCAGGATCATTTTGAATAGTCCCTTCTGGTGAGAAATAAAAAGCGCTTTATACAGTAAAAAAAAAAAAAATTACAACAGCTTCTTTTTTAGAGTAAGGTTCATCTTTTACAAGGCCCGGGCGACTCTCGAGGTAGAGTGTTACGTTAGGAGGCAATTTGTGTGTATAGCAGTAGAAGATAACGGTTAACTCTAGACATGAAAAGATTGTAGTAATCGGGAAGACATCCAGTTGGGAGTCGCTTCCACAGGAAAGTGATTCCCGGGAAGCTGTTCGAATGGAACTTACTTCTCACCGGCAGAATACGGAAGGAATATGGCTAGTTTGTTAGTATGTAAGTGGCATGGCGTGTTCTTGCTGTGAAGTTTTGACTTGACGGGACCAGGGAATATCAGTCACCCGAGCTCTTTCCGTAAAAGAAGCAGTAGCGCAGCGACAGGTTTGCCACTTCCCATCTGTGGGAGAGAGATTGAAGAGCGAAGAGTAATTCGTCACCCACAAGGGCCCGGAGACGCTTTTGAACTCTATCAACGCCGGAGAGTGAGGTCTGGGCAGCTCCCGCCCAAATATGACATTTTTGGCTCTGATCTGGTTCTTGTTAAGGTATGGTTATCATCATGGAAATATGAATTGATAAACAGTGTTCGAGTCCCGGTGGAAACAGCTAATATTGCTTTTGCATTTGTGGATGATTCCAAAGCCATTACAGTCACATTACAAATCACTTGTTTTAGGTTTGTACTGCTACGACAATTAGGCGCTTCGTATTCCATTGGTAAGTAGGAACTTCCATTGGGATAACATATTCTAAAGAGCCGCTGCTTTGTGGAACAGGCTCCCAAGATTATACTTCCCGGACTGTTACAACCTTAGCCTCTCCAAGTCTCGGATCAACCGCTACGTACCCTATATACAATCTAAAATAGTTACGTCCATAAGCAACCTCATTCAGTAATCTTCTACTTTGAGTGACTCCTAGTTCTAGTATTGGGTAACAGGGGTTGAAAGCACGCTGGCCACATCTTCTGTTGAAACTCAAGATCCCCGACCGCTAAAAGGCACCCACTTCTGAGTGGATACTTCCAGGTTTTGATATACACCGGCCCGATGTTTAGCTTTCTTGATTCCAGTGGAAACCGAACAGTGTTTCAGTTTCAACAATAATGTAAACCGGGTCTACGTTTTGATTTTTTGAGGTAAATCCTACCCGTGTTATTAACACTATTTACATAGGTCGGACTGTTGTACTCGTAATTATTGTCATATTCACAACGCCCCGGTCGTTGGACACACGACCCAGAGGAAAAAAAGGCGTTGGTTCAAGCAATCCAAAAGTGACTTGAGTTGTGAGTTCAATTCAGAGGTGAATAAAAAATTGGGGAGATGAGTTACTAAAGATAATTAACTAAAACTAAGATACACAGAAAAGGCATGGAAAGTGAAACTAGAATAATCTACTCCCGTGGACTAAATAATGAGTTCGAATCGAAATTCCAACATATATCACCTGAAGTAGGCCGGAGCGTACAATGGCCGAAACGTTGTGGATATGACAACAAAGATGAGGACAGCAGTTCGAACAATGTAAATAATGTAAATAGTTACAATACGAAAAAATCCATTCAAATATGCCAATATATACCATTTAGAAACATTCTTCTCCACTCTCAAACACAATTCAATAAACACACGCACGCACACACACACACACACACACACACACACACAGATAGATAGATAGATGGATAGACTGGTATATATTGGCATATTTGAATGGATTAATTAGGTATGATTTGACATAATGAGCGAAAGAGAAACCCATCTCAGAAATATAGACAGATGATGACCCGTGTTATACTTTTCGAATTTAGTGAGAACAAGTTCTGACTTTAACTTTTTGATTCTAGTGTAAACCAGGCCTGTATTTCTTTTTTTGGATCGCGTGCAAGCATGTGTTTTATGAAAGATTTTTTGTTCTTTTTTTTTGTTGATAATGCTGTGAATATACGGTTATTTTTGTTTCATATTAGTTATCCCCACTGAAAGAACTGTCATGGATTGTGAAGAGACAATATTTGAAATAAATTTAAAAAAATGAGAAGAACTGGCATAACACAGAATAATTATCCCAAAATTATCACCAAAAAAATACGTGTCACAAAATTATCAACCAAAAGTTCTTTGTAAAATGGCTTATGAAAGCCGAATGTAAAGTGTTATTTTTTCAAAATACTTGCTTTTTATCGATTAGCAACATTCTTCTCCACTCTCAAATACAATTCAATAAACACACACAAACACACACACACGCATATAGATAGATAGATAGATAGATAGATAGATAGATATGAAAAGGACTGAGATAGATAGATAGATATGAAAAGGACTGAGATAGATAGATAGAGAGAGAGAGAGAAAAGGACTAGCTAGCTAGATAGATAGATAGATAGATAGATAGATAGATAGATAGAGAGAGAGAGAGATATGAAAAGGACTGAGATAGATAGATGGATAGATAGATAGATAGATAGATAGATAGATAGAGAGAGAGAGAGAGAGAGAGAGAGATCCTCCTACGCCAAACGCTATTTTGCGGATACCCATATTTGAGTAGAGGCACTGTTTTTTTTTTAACGAGAAACCTAATAAAGAAAATGTACTCCTTTCTAGAGGAAGCCACTGATTAATGTAGTTTGCTTTAGACCACTCGCTCATAGAGAGCATGGCGGCCCACTATGATTCATTTATCCTTTTCAAGAATGCAAATCCTCTCTTTCAGTTCGCGAAAGCCCGAATCTCTGCTAAATTTGTCGTATCCAAAACGTAAATAACTTAATTTCTATGGAATCAATCTATTTTTTTATCCGACATTATTTCTTTCTGCTGTAAAATTTTGAGAAGACGCCCTGTTTTTTGTTTTTGTTTATATTTTCTTCACATTGATAAAACTCTTCAGTGCAGATGAGCAGTTCCACACAACATATTTTTTTCAATTTCTTGTAAACAAGGGCTTCTACAAATCGTCTTAATGTTCTTATCTGTACATTTTTAATTGCTCCCAGGATCCCAATTCTTATAATAAAAAAATCTGAAGACCAAAGTTGACTTGAAAGCAAGAAACCGAAGGAGAATTCCACAAGCGAGAAGTGCAACAGAAAGAACTGTTATCATACATATACATGGAGAAACGGATAAATTGTCGCCATTTTATATTTTTAATTTCGCGCATGCGTGTTGTCTGTTTTTTTATTTTGTCGACTACACAGTATATTAGGGTCAGTTGTGCACCGTCTGTGAGAAATAGAGCATCCTAACTCAATTCACTCCGCCAGAAATTTGGAAACGACATGCTTGGCATTCACGCCGAAATCTCTAATACGGACATTTCAGAGTGTTTGTGTGTCAAGCTGAGGACAGTGCAGAAGATTCGGTATAACTGGGATGAGTCTAATGATGATAGTGTTTGGAGTGATCACTAGCGATGGCGATGTTATGCCTCCATTCATCTTCTCACAGAAGCCTAGGTTCAACACGGAGGCTTACATCAATTGTCTTAAAGAGGTAGTACTGCTGTGGGTCAAGAAGGTGGCTGATGGAAGATCCTATATCTGACAACAGCACCATGCCACACAAGTAGGAGATTCCAGTCATGGCTGTCAGACAACTGCTGCGACTACATCAGCCCTTAGATCTGGCCACCAAACTCCCCAGACTACAACCCCTTTAATTATTATGTGTGGGGCACAGTTGAGCGAGAGACAAACAAAACTCTTTGTAACACCAAAGATGAACCGAAAGCAAGGATTATGGCAGCATTCACCAAGTTAAACAAGGAGAGCGCCCAAAAGAGATGCCGGAGATTCCGAAGTCGTCTGGAGGCCGTAGTTGAAGCCAATGGCGATTTTATTGAATATATTTACTCTTTAGTATTTCAAGATATTTTTGTGCAATTTTAGTTAATATATCTGTTAAAATGCGATGTCAGTGTTATTTTCATTTCTGGGTAATTTATCTATCGTAGCCTGCATATATTTATATAGATGTAATTACTTATTTTGTCATATTTTTATCTTTGAGAATGCATTGTTTTTAGTTTATAGTCTCTAATTACAACGACTAGTCTCTTAGCTTTTACATATCTCCCACTATGATATCGACCTTATGACTTTCTATGACAAGTTCAGTGTGATGTTCGTACAATTTTATTATTTGATCTGCAAACACAGAAAATTTTGAGATGGAACCAAAGTACCACCTGCCCACAACCAGTGGACTGAGATTGCACATTTTCATCATGATTTGAGAACTCTTCGGATTATACGAGCACCCTCTTCTGTAAGCGCCCAACCTTAACACTGACCCGCAATCTTCCCCAGCCGCTTCGAAAGTTCAGTATTTATGGTGCCCAGAGCACCAACAACAACGGGTAGGATTTTCATTCACTTCGTTAACCACAATTTCACATTATTATTTTTTTCCTTTGATTTCTGGCGTTTACACATTACTTTCCGAGTCCCGCTTAAAGACCTAAGGTTAGAAATGGCATCATGACACTTTCCATTAAAAAAAAAAGAAAAAAAAATTACATAGATAAAGCCCTTCGTAAAGTGTGGGCTGTACTTGTCAGAACAATTTTTTGTATCTCCTTGAGGTATGGACTTCCAGGAATCCCTTCAATTAGTCTACTGCAATCTTTTCCAACCAGTCTTAGGGCTCCAACTACAACAGGGATTGTTATTATTATTATTATTATTATTATTATTAAAAGACTTCCAAAAGAGCGCGATTTCCAGAAAAGAAAAAAAGAAAAGACACAGTGTTTGACAATGTTTAATAATCGTTCGACATTGCGCCTGTTTTCTTTCAGCTATATATTCATACATAAATTAAAAAAAAACACAAGCGTGCATGCATGTATAAAAACAAGTCTATGAATAAACGTCGCTTGTCTTGAAAAGAAAAAAACAAACATACACACACACACACAAACGGTTACACTGCTAGTCAACGCGACAAAACAAGTGGAATGCATGTTAAACGTGACTAACATAATAGGGACGTTGGTAGTTATGACATTGTTGTATGTTGTCTCCAAAAAAACAAAATCAGTCGACCCGATATGAATATCGGGTTTGGACAGAACAAGTGAAATAGCTTTGCAAACAGACAGCAAATATTATGGAAATGATCATCAATAGCAAATGGAAGAATAACATCCATAGACATTGGACAAAAAAAAAAAATACAGTATATACGTTGAAAAATGCCATGAAAAGAACTAACAATAAAATTCCATCCTTCCCCGTAAAAAAGAAAAAAATACTTTGATGAGCTTGGAAGATTGGCAGCATTTTCCTGATTGAGTACAAGACAAGGAAGTTGCTGAAGATGAGACGTCACACTAATTTGCAGTGTGCCTTTAAATCGAAACTGCTCTCGTGACGATGATGATTATAATGATGCTCGTCTTGAAAATTTTCCCTGATTAGATTAGTTAGTAAGAGCGATTAATCAAACATTGTTATGTAAATCTGATAGCATTCACCTGCCATTTATTTTATTCTCCCTGAGAATCTCCGGTAAAATTTGAAGTGTTACAAAATAGTGAAAGAATTACGTCAATCCTTTTGATTTTAACTATCGAAATAATACTAAAACTCTAATCTTGTATGTATGCATGTTTATTCCCGAGATCCGAAACCTAATACCCCCAACCAATTTAGGAGCCTATTGTACCTTGAGCCACTACCAAGTGCAGTACCAAATTTCATTTAAATCAGTCAAGAGTTCACTATTTACATTGTCCGGACTATCGTCTTCATCTATGTTGCCATATTTATCACAACGTTTCGGCTGTTGTACGCTCCGGCCTTCTTCAGGTGGTTGGAATGTCGAACTGAGCCATTCATTTCGCTCGCTGGGATAGACTGTTCTAGTTCCACGCGCCATGTCTCAAGGACACATGGCACAGTGGATAAAGGCGTTAGTTAGATCCATTGACAGGACCCAAAGAGTGTGAGTTCAATACCTGGTTAAGGCAGTGAAGAACTTGGAGAGGGAAATTAACAGGAAATAACTGATAACTGACATCCATTAGACATGGCACGTGGAACTAGCGAGCGAAATAAAGGGTTCAGTTCGACATTCCAACCACCTGAAGAAGGCCGCAGCGTACAACGTCTGAAACGTTGTGATAAATATGGCAACATAGATGATGACGATAGTCCGAACAATGTAAATGGTGTACATAATACCTCATCTCAGAAATGTAGACAGACAGTCAAGAGTTTCTTCATTTTCTTTTTTTTTTCTTGTAAGTTTCACTCTGTACAAGACCTGGGAGCCACTCTAGGTAGATGGTTACGTTAAAGAATAGTTTATATGGATAGGAGGGGAAGATAACGGTTAACTCTAAATTTGAACAGGTTAAGATTATAGTGATCGGGAAAACATCCTCCACAGAGCAGAGAAGCTGTTTGAGTTGAATAACAATGACACAAAATGCGAATTCTTTAACACCTTCCTTTTTTCTTTTTATAACTGTGTTAAATTTTTTTTATTTATTTTTTTAGCATGGCGGGTAACTGTGAAGGACCTGGCGGAAACAAAGAATATTTTAGGTTTATTTATTCATCACACATCCCACCTGTGAGAGCGAGGTTGGAAGGTGGAAAATAATTCATCACCCACAAGGATTGAGACGTTTTGAACTCTATCTAGGGTCTGGGCAGCCGTCCAAATGCCATAACAATGACACAAAATGCGAATTCTTTTAAAACCTTTGACCATTTTATAATTGTCTGTACATTTTTTTGTTTATTCCTTCATCACCTTTCCGACATAAACTTTGGTTCGTTATATGACGGATAGATGATTTGTTCATACAGTGATTTTTATTAGATCAAATAAAGATTAACAAAAAATAAGTACCGGTTTGTCCAAAATATTTTCCTATTATTATTATTATTATTATTATTTATGTGTTGTTTCCTGCTTAGTATCCTGTAAGACTGGGTTAGAACTATGGTCCTTAGGGTTACCTGAGAATTGACATTTAAGTAAAATTTTCTATTCTGGGGTTTTCCTCGTGATGCCCAGAGCAATTCCGATGTTGATATTTACTGAGACACTGTTAGTTTTTTATTCCTTTCCTGTTAGAGTCCCGATTACTATTCTACAGCCTCCGTCTTCCATCCTGTTCTACAGGGCCTTCTATTTGGACAATTTCACGATAATTTTTATGGCGGTGTTTCTCTCAGATGTTACTGCTAAGTCAATAAGTACACACTTCCTGAATTTCTTGTCTCTTATGATAATATCAAGTCTGTTGCCTTTTATTCCGATGTCAATTTGAATTGTCATGTCCCAGAGGATAGTTACATCGTTATTTTCGGTAACTGTGTCTGGTTGGTGCTCATACCATCTCTCAGTGGTTTCGATTTTGTGCTCCTTGCATGTTTCTATTATTATTATTATTATTATTATTATTATTATTATTATTTTATTATTAGTTTATATGTATAAGAGGGGAAGATAATGGTTAACTTTAGACTTGAACATGTTAAGATAATTGGAGAAACCTCTTGGGATTCTGTTCCAAAGGGCAGTCGTTCATGGGAAGAAGCTGTGTGAGTGGAATTTACTTCTTGCCGACGGAATACGGAGGGAATGTGGATGATTTGCTCCTATGTAAGTGGCATGGCGGGTTCTAGCTGTGAAGGCTAGACCTGGCAGAAACAAGGAATGTTGTTCATCTGAGCACTTTCCATAGAAATAGCGATAAAGCAATGAGAAGCTCGCCACACCTCACTCCCCACCGTGAGAAAGAGAGAGGGGGGAGGAGGGGGGATATTATTTTTCTTCAACACGGACTCAGAGACACTTTTGAACTCTATCAAGACTGGAAAATGAGGACTGGGCATCCCCCCCCCCAAAAAAAATTGGCAACGGTACCCCATTTTCCGACTGATCTGACTCTTATAAAGGATACCATGAGGAGTCAGGTACTTACTGGAACGGTACAGGGAGCCGATCATTTTATGTGAATCTTTAACTCGTGTCGTTTTTTTAATAGGAAATTTAGTGTGTGAAAAATAATAAACATTGATCATTCTGTATTTTTGTAAATCAATTCAAGGCGATAATTCCACTAAGATGTAAGGGGCTACTGGGAGTGAAATAGAATTTTTTTCAGAAATTCCGAAAACCTTTCCAATTATTAATTTATTATTGCGTTCTATCAAAGTAATATTGTATAATGTAAGTAATAATAAGTAATAATACGATCACTTGGATTGAAAATACAAATTAAAATATGTGTAATTAATAATAAAATTGATAATATTGTTACCTCGTCATTTTGTATATTGAACTGGTTTTAAAAGGAAGCGAACTGGACTATGGGTAGTCTAGGTATTATTTTAATGTTTCGATGGTATCCTTATTAATAGACACTACAGCAAATTTCCTCAAACCTTCAGGTACTTTCTCGTTATTGCTGCAGATCCCAGAAAAATGCATTGTCTGGATAGTTCCAATTCTACTTTCAATTCCTAACTCATAATTCTATATATTTTTAACGCTTCCGAGTGCACCAGCTTTTAGTGATACGAACCTAATTGTTTTGAACGACGATTTTTCTCTGTTCCCGGCTAAAGTCCTGATATATCTCAGTAATTTTTAACCTTTTTCTTCACTACTGCTGCTGCTGCTACTACTACTACTACTTTCTTTACGCTATATCTTTTTTTCTTTAATTTGGTACAAGGACAGACATGATGGTCAGGCCCATCGCCAGAGTGTTTTGAGCTGAGCAGGAGTGGGGGGGGGCTTTAAATCGTAGGGAGGGACTGCCAACAAGAAATTGCACACTAAAATTAGTTCACATCATTTTCACGGGTATGGGAGTGCAAATGATTTTCGAGGGTGCTGCCTTGGCGACAGGCCTGATTGTGGTGTACGTGATGAGAAATAAAGTCTCTATCAATTGCTTCTTGGAGTCACAGGTAGCACAATAAGCAATGAATGAGGGCAGGTGCGATTCGTATTCGATTCATTTTATGAAGATATTCCTGGAACTCTTCTTTACCGTCCTTCCAGCCTAGAAAGTTGTTAGATAAAAAAAAAAGTAAAGCTCAGAAAAAACAACACTGATGTCTTGATTTTTTAAAGTTTACTTTACTTTTATGCAGTTGAAAACACCTCTAAACATTCATATAAGTTAAGATATGCTAAAATGAACAAAATAGATTTCTGTCTGAATTTCCGGGTGTGGGGTGGGGAGATGTTATGATTATTTATATACATATATATATATATATATATATATATATATATATATATATATATATATATATATATATATATATATATACGTATGTATATATATATATATGTGTGTATATATATATATATATATATATATATATATATATATATATATATATATATACCAAGTATATAATTGGTATATACGGAATGAATTCCAATAACCAACAATTACTATTCTTAAAAGAGTGCTCAATACAAAGGAGAGCAGATATAATTATTATTTATAAAAAAAATTATAACATAAGTATGCTATAAAATCACTACAAAAATAGCCATTTTGTTTCAACACCCTCGGTGTCTTATCAAGTGATGATGTTGAAGATAAAATAAATGGTTTTAAAAGTTTCAAATTAATTAATGATCCTTCACTAGAGGGAAACATTGTTACAAGAGCTAGAATGACCAATCAAAATCCAAGTATAGGAAGATTCAAAAGCTTGACAACGAAATCATGTTATAATAGCTATTCAGATCTTTAAAATACGTGTAATATTAAAAATAATTTATACTAACCAATAATTATAAAATTATATGATAAAATTTAATATTAAAATTAAAAACTACCAATTTTAAAATCCAAATTTAAATACTATAAGTTTAAAAACTACAAAATTATTGAGAAAAGACTTTTAAAACCATTTATTTTATCTTCAACATCATCACTTGATAAGACACCGAGGGTGTTGAAACAAAATGGCTATTTTTGTAGTGATTTTATAACATATTTATGTTATAATTTTTTTTTATAAATAATAATTATATATTTATATATATATTGTTATTTATATTTTACTATTGTCCATGACATTGTTGCTATCACAACGTAGAAACAGAGAGAGCAATAACTGATCAGTGTTAAAAATAAGAACTAGACAAGATATCCCGAGAAATGAGCAATAGAAAGGGTTCACTTTGAAATTTCCTGTAAGTATGAAATCAAATATTAGAAGGAAGGAAAAGGAAAAGCCCCTCCCCCACCAAGTAGGTTAACTAACGGGAAGGGAGCACCATAGCCTAACGGAGCCGAGGTCAGTTTTGAATTCAGAGATTTTCCTTCTCCTGTCACCAAAGCTATAGAACCCAGTCTGTCCTGCTATTTACCCATAGCTTGGGGAGAGGGGGAAGAAGAGCATTTATACCTTTTCCAAGCATGTAACAATTAGCATGTAATGTATTCGGCTGAAGTTCGAACTCGGCTCTCTGATTCCTTAATCCGAGCCGCTATCCATTACTCCACCGTGTCTCACACCAGATGAATTTCCAGAGACAACAACGGTCGAAAATTTGTAATGAAAACAACAAAGGTGAGGACACAGTGGAGTAATGGATAGCGGTTCGGATTGAGGAATTGGAGAGCCGGGTTCGAATTCCAGTCAAATCCATTACATTCATTTACGTCCTAATACCCTTGGGAAATGTATGAATTCTCCTCTTCTCCCTCTAGTTATGGGTAAATAGCAGGACAAACCGGGGGGCAACTGGTCTACCGGAGAAAGGAATGGCAACCTACTGCGGGGAAAAAAAATCTGCCTCGTCAGTCATGTATCGAAAAATCTGCCTCGTCGTTCCTGTATCACGCATGGCACATAACTGACTGAAGGGAATTGGACATACTACCATGATTTAATATCTGTGACCGCAGTCTTAACAATATAAGAATAATTTAAATAGTGTACATAATACCTCATCTCAGAAATATAGACAGATGTTCATTTCGACATTCCAACCACCTGAAGAAGGCCGCAGAGTACAACAGCCGAAACATTGTAATAAATATAACGACAAAGATGAGGACAATAGTCCGAATGATGTAAATAGTGTTCATAATACCTCATCTCAGAAATATAGACAGATATTCATCTGCAATGCTTCATCTTTACTGCTTATATATTTACAAGACATTTTATATCCTTCAAGTAAAACACGTTCAAATAAAGCCGATTATTTTACTGTTAAATATTCAAAAATATCCTTGTGTTCATTATTACGTCCGTGCGCTATGTATAAATAAAAGATAACGTATCAAGTCGCCAGTCTAAGTAAAAGGCCAATTCGAAATAGTAAGACGAATCATAAGGAAATCTTTCTGCGTATAGTCTATTTTCTGTCGTACGAAAAATTTCATTCTTAAGAAAAAACTGTATTAAAAAATTTCCCAGTATCACAATATAATAAGATACAGTACTGTTCGATAAAAGTGACTCACCTGCCTTTTTTTACTTAAAAATTTTTCGCCTATTGTTTTCGGGGTCTAACTAATTTTTAATCTTAATAATATAAAGACTCCTTCCTGACCACCTAGTAAAAAAGTTTACTCACCCTAAGGTATTCTATTGATAATTATAATTTTGGATATAAATGAGATTTAGGGAAAAACTCCTTGCAAAAAAAAATGTGACTCACTTATTTCCTGCAACTAGTAATCAATAGAAACATAACCGAACAGCTTTAAATAAAGAATAATAGAGGTAGAATTTATCTATAATAGGTTATATAGTTCGAAATATTTATTAATCTATGGGTCCTCCTTTATTTTGAATAACCTTTTCAACCCCTTTTTGGCATTGACTTGATTAGGTTCTGGCAAATCTCATCTCTAAGCCTTGAATTCCATTGGGATCTGAAATTCACAATCAAATCCTCTTTGTTGTTCAACTGCTTTCTCGAGAGCCTGTACTTGATAATGCTCCATAAGTTTTCTATGGGGTTGAGGTCAGGAGATTGGGGCGGCCATGTCATAACACTCACCTGCTTCTCATCAAAGTATTCCTTCATCAATTTTGATTTGTGACGGGGAGCATAAAAATGAGCTTGGTGGGGTCGATTTGCACCCTTTCAGCAGAAGGGAGCAGACACGACTCTAAAATTCTTTTGTACTGCTCGCTCCTGAGGGTCTTTTCAATAGGTTTTAAGAAACCATTTCCATGAAAAGAAAAGCTTCTCCAGAAAATTATACTGAACGGATGCTTGACAGTACTTACTGCTAAATTCAAAGAGCTTTCAAAGCATCTTCTTCGGATTTTAGATCGCTTATCCTTTGAATTTAGCTCAACTTTCGTTTCATCGGAGAAGAGAACATTCTTCCAGTCTTCTACGGTAAAACTTTTGTAATAGTGAGCCCATTCAAGTCTCTTGACTTTGTTGGCTTTGCTTATTAGCGGCTTAAACCTTCGTGTACGAGATTTGTAGCCTTGTTCTAACAGCCACCGACGGACTGTTGAAGAGGCAAAACTAACACCTTGCTCTTCGCCAAGACTGGCTGCAATTTCTTGTCTAGTTATAGTCCTATTCTTCGCAACTTCTCTCTTGATTACCCTGACAGTTCTATCATCAATCTTTTTCTTTCGTTCTCTTGTTTCTTTCCTTGGAGTAGGAGTGACATCATTATGTGCCCTAAGCACTCGAGAGACAATTGATTACGAGGTTATAGCAATTTCTCTCGTAGATTTGCCTGCTTTTGGGAGGGCAATAATAGATGCTTTAAGTGGTTCTAAGTGGCTATTTCAAGCTGTTTTTATACTGTATGAGGCTTTCTGGAATATTCTGGAACACTCTAGATTTAATTTAAACTGTTCTAGAATTCTCTAGAATATTGTTCTGAGCGCATCGTAAAATAGTTTTCAATATTTTGTCAAAAGCTCTTTAAATTTATCACTTTAATCATTAGAATGCGATATCTGAGTCACTTTTTTTTTACACAGAGCTTTTTCCTGAATCGCATTTATATCCAAATTTATAATTATCAATAGAATACCTTAGGGTGAATAAACTTTTTTCCTAGGTGGTCGGGAAGGGGCCTTTATATTAGTAAGATTAAAAAATATTTTAACACACAAAACAATAGACAAAAAAATATTTTTAGCAAAAAAATATCAGGTGAGTCATTTTTATCGAACAGCACTGTACATACATAGAATATAAGTAAACAAAGATCAACAATGAAGTTTACAACATTCTAAAAAGAGATTCTATATACTTATTGGTAACCAAACCCCAAATCTCTTCCCTCACATATTGGCAACTTTCTGGTTGTTTGTAGTCAACTAGGGCAGACATTACAAAAAGGCCTGTAGGGTTTGCGAAGAAAAACCTTAACACTCTATTTAAATTAAGATTTGGTACAATGGACAAATTACAAAGATTCAAATTATAGGAGGCTTACGGCCATATCACGTTGAAACACCGTTCTCCGCCCGATCACGGAAGTAACGCCGAGCCTGGTCAGTACCTAGACGGGTAACCAATTGCTGTAAGCTTGAATGTGTGGGCAATGTAATATTAATGGCTGAAAATTGTTAACTGGAGAGCCGTGTTCCAATTCCACTCGGGATCGTTATATTCACATAAGCGCAAATACCATTTGGAAAGGTATGAATCCGCGTCTTTCCCCCTAAGTGTTAAGGTCCAGGTTAGGACCAAGAAAGAACAACACGAACACAAGAGTAGAACTAACGAAGGTATATTACACGGAATAATAATACAAGATGTGGAAGGTGTTAGTATGACTGTCAGCCTGGTTTGGAGTGAACTACTATCGGCTCGACTCGATACGGTATATAGCATGTGGCACAAGGCCAAGTTTAACGTGGGTTTCCCAAGCCTGTAGACTCGGCCAAAAAATGTCCGTAGAACCCGTATAAACAGGATCGGGTTGGTCAACCTCCTCGAACGAGACTCTGCCCTTCGGCGGAGTCTCGTCCGGGTTCCTCTCTGCTCAGAGGCAGAG